GGTGTGGCACATTCGCCGCGCCATACTCAGCTCACCCTCAGCTCACCCTCAGTCGCGGTGCAGGGGGCGGAGCTCCTCTCCGCGCTCACACCGTCAGTGGCTTTCTCCCTCGTGGCGGGCGTTGTTGCCGGCTCACACACCTTGACTGACGTCATCAGCAGCTCTGGCTCTGCGGCGATCCTCAGCTCTGTCGCTCCATGCGGCGATGGCTCTCCGTCAGCAGTGGGCTTGGGCATGCGCTCCGCGCAGCGGGGAGATGGTGGGCTGAGCACTGGGTCTGGAGTGGCACTCCGGTCTCGCCAGTGTCCACTCCACAAAGGCGGCGAAATTCGCTCGAGGACCATCTTTGGATGACATCGCTCTGCATGAGAGGTTTAAACTGGCGTCGTAGAACGCACAGAGCGCGTCGTCCGGGTAGCTGGTTAGAGCAGCGAGGACCAGGAACAGTCTAGTATGGCCCTCGAGCGATCTCTCCCCCTGCTTCAGCAGGAGAAGGAGGTACTCCGGACGGGAAAGGGGATCCATGGAAAACACAATTGAAACAAAACACTGAGGGGAAAAAAATAACGGAAACAAAAACGGAGGGTAGACACACGGAGGTAACTGTTTCGGTCGGGTCTTCTGTCACAATACACTGGAGCACGGGCACGAAGAAACGAGGAGACGTGGAGATTTCACAAAAACAAGAGTCTTTAATAATCCAACAGGGAGTTACAGGGCACAAGGAAGACATTCAAGACCCGACAAATACAGACAGGGACTTTTAAACACAGGGCAATCAGGGGAACACAAGGTGCGGGGATTCAACTAACAATGAGACAACGAGAACAGGAACATGACCAAATAAGGGAACACTGAAACAGAAACAGGCAAAACAGGTCTATAATCCTGGTAGTACTATTAATAAAGGCAAGATTTTTTAAAATCTATTTTGGGGATAAAATGAGTAAATATAGCCGTCGAATACTACAGTAAAATTTGTGCAATAATTTGTAACATTCAATAGGCCTAAACTGTTGCAGAACATTACAAAACAATCATAACTATTATCTTAATTGCAGAAATTAATCTGTATTTATATATATATATATATATATACACTGTATATATATGAAAAGGACATTTATTTATGAGGGATAATGTGATAATGTGAAGTGTTTCTGGAAATATTGATAATTTATGAGAAGAGGGAGGCTTTAGATCAGTCGTGACACAAACAAGCACATCTATGTAGGAAATCCATATATATTCCTCCCTAGGCCACAAATTTAAACCAAAAAGACTGAAGACCAGCATGCGTTCCTTTAAAGAGCATGTAGGCAGTCGCATGTGTCTTTCCAGCTTTTCAACATGCATCGCCACGGAAGATTAATTCAGGCAGGCCTACGCCGTTTCCTTCTGACTCCGCAACCCACGGCCAATCCATCGTCATGGGAACCGTGCAAGCAAATGAGAAGGTTCCCACACCCCTCCCGGACCACTTTATAAACAATTACACAAGTTTTTAAACATCCCAACGCCTGAAGAATAGTCGTTCCACCAGAAATCCTAACTTGTGGCATCAAGCCATTGCGAGAAACCTCAGGTGACAATCGCTAGCGCTGACGATGCTTCAAATTAAGTGCCTGAGTCTCGAATGCCACGCTAGATCTTAGCCTCCTCGCTGTGATTTTATGGACGGTCTGAGGTTAAACGTTGTTCAGAGCCTGTTGGGAGAAAAGGCAAACCGAACTGATCTCCAAATCAACAAGGATCACACTCCAAGCTGTCACTCCGCTTCGAGTGTCTCCGAGCTGCTGATATAACGTTGTTGCGGAGCACAACCGGCTAATGCACTCGCAATTTGTCTCCGTCTCTGAAGTGAGCTCCAGACAGATGGGGGCTGACAACTTCAGATCGATTCTGCTAAAACAAGTCATTGGGGGAGGTGGTAAGAAAACTGATAATAATTTAGATGAGCATCATGCTTGCATAATTTCAGTGGCGGTTTTTGTCAGACAAACAGGTAAAATAAGGAAATAAGCTTCTGTTTTCTCGGAAAACTGCTTGCATTGGCAATCATTTGAGTGGTGTCAGACTAAGAAGAAAAAAATAGTAAATTAATGTATGCAGTAACTATGAAAATAGGTTAAAAAAGGCTAAAATGTTCTGCTCAGCACCGATTCAGCCAGCTGTAGACGAAATGTTGTTGTTATATTCAGAAACAGGCCATTATCCCTCTAAGCGCCAAAGTCGCAAAATTGCGACAAGACGTCATACTTAATAAAATAGACTGTAGTTCCTAATATGGTGTAATATCTCATTTGTATTCCCTACCACTAGATGGCAGACATGTAGTACTTGGATTTTAGACCAAAATTACGTCACCTTCCTATTCAAAGTGTTTGAGGAAAGAGCAAAGCAAGTGAGCTATCGTGTCATTGATGCGGAAGCAGTTCAGTTCATAGCGTGAGAGTAAATTGTGAGATTTGTGAGAGAAAATCACCAAATGGCTAATAAAAAGTGTGGTCGTAGTGTCCATAGGAGAGCTGTTGCTAGAGGTAGAGGCAGCAGGAGTAGGAGATATAGGGCTGGAAGTAGCACTAGCTCTTTGGATTCAGTCAGAGCGCTCTGGATCCAGTGCCCCAAAGAGGTGGGAGTGGCCGCGGTACACGGTGCAGTCAGTGTGGGGTAGGTCTGTGCGCTGTGCCATGCAATGAGAGGTACCATACTCTCAAGAACTATAAACTGTGTCACCTAGATACCTGATTGGGCAGATAGCTGGTCAACTGATCAAAAAATAGGCACATGCATTTTACTATGGCACAGTAATATAGAAATAATTTACTGCTTTCTCCTGTTTTACTGTTGATTTCCTATCATTTGGAATGAGGATAAAAAGATTTTTAAAAAACATGCAAATAAGTTCAAACATCAATTCAATATCTACTATTTCCTGAATATTATGAAATTCAAGATAACCGCCCCCTAATGACGTCATAATATGCAAATTAGACAAGTATATTTACACCCCACATAAACTTTCGGTCATGCCCAACATTTTTCTAATTTACAGTAGATCTCTATCTTTAAGCCCTTTCAAGCCACAAGCTTTTGAAATCTTGATGTCAAAATCCAGCGTTTTTCCAAAAATCCCTGGCGCATAAAAGGTTAAACCAAACACCAAACACATCTACATTTCTACTTTGTTTCACTTTTTTATTAGTGTTTGGAAAGCATTGGCATATTGATATTCCTCACACATTCTGATTAGGGTTTGTTCTAATTATTAAACTTCTGTAATTAATTCATCCTAATTTTTTTGTAGATAATTGTAGGCTTTTTTTTTTTTTTTTTTCAGTGACCGAAAAAAATTAAAAAAAAATTAAAAAAATATTTTTAAAAATAACCGCGTTCCTGTGGACAGGGCCTTAATCAGCACAACTGTTTTCAGCATTGATAATAAAGAAATAAATGTTTCTTGAGCAGCAAATCAGCTTATTAGAATGATTTCTGAAGGATCACGAGTCCTCTTATTGTTTTACATTTGTAGACTGTTCAGAATACAACAACAAAACAACAACAACAACAACAACAATTAATAATAAATAATAATAATATTTAATAATAAATAAACAAATAAATTATATAAAAAAATTAACTGTTTGCATGCTAAATGTGATTACTTTCTTATGTTATGCAAATTTTAAAATGAAGCTTGTGGTGAATTGATGTCAAAAGCGTCATTTTGTTTGTATGTTTATTTATCTCCATTGCTCCTACTTGTTTAGTACTGCTCGTTCGAATTAAAGCAAAAGCAAAAAAAAAAACAAAAAAAAAATGTTTTTGACATGAATTATTGAAACCTCAACTCTCTTAATTATTCAGTTTCGGCTTCAAATATATCACCCTGAGATTTAACACTAAACAGCCCTGCAGTACATTTAACTTATATAATACAATATAACTGGGTCAGAAAATAACACAGTCCCATATCTCTCATTGTGGCATAAACGTTGTTGACCTCTTGTGGTTAAAGACCCCATACAAAATGTATGTTTATTTATCTCCATTGCTCCTACTTGTTTAGTACTGCTCGTTCGAATTAAAGCAAAAGCAAAAAAAAAAAAAAAAAAAAAAAAAATCATTGTGGCATAAACGTTGTTGACCTCTTGTGGTTAAAGACCCCATACAAATTTTAATCCTGTGGCTTTTTAGTCCATGCCATTTTTAGCTGTTATGCAAGTGTAACAATATTAGTGACAATATTACTGACACAGATAAACTGAGAGAAATGGTGTAGGATTTACTTTAGGAAACAACTTTTATTCAGAAATCGCTTGTAAATATAAAAAAAAAACTTAAAAAAGTAATTAGCAACTAGTAACTTGCTCATTTATAAACTTGTTACGTCCCGTATTGTTCTGGGAGGGATGTTTTCTCCTTTTTCTCTCTCTTGCTTCACTCTCACCTCACAGGACCTGTGATTGGATCATGCTTCTGTCAATCATCAATTCTACACGACGCTTTGAGGACCAGTCAGACGTTAGTGGGACGTGAGTTCGGGAGGAGCGTTTGCTTTTCATTTGTTTGCTCTCCCACGTTTACTTTGGTGTTTGCTCCTGTTTTTGTTTCCGAATTTGAGTTATTGTGTGTTTGAGTTTTCTCTTGTGAAACTTTACTTTTCAGTGGCTGTTTAACTGTGTTTATGCTGTGACTCTCCTCTCGGTTTACCCGAGCTTATTCAAGTCCTTCTTCGACACTTAGTGATGAGACCAGTGCAGCATGTCACGTGACTTACATCTTACTACACGCAGG